ATTGGGACTGGCGACGACGAAGACGACGACAGCGTCTCTCACACGCCGAATGGTCGGATTTCCTTTGCGTATCCAGCTATCGTTGCTTTCCTGGGTCCACCTTCTCCCTCCTTCGACAGCATCATCCATTTCCACGCCCACATTGTCCATGTCCGTCTCCATTTCATGTGTGCGCATGCACTTCATAAGTATACACGCATAGCGGCCTCGCCGCTCGCTCGTCCGCCCTCTCGCCCTAGCTTTTGTGTGCGCTTGCTTGCCCAAGAGCCGTTCCGATGGTATCATTTACCTGCTTTCGTGCTGCCGCCACTCCTGTGACCGGGCGCGAGTCCGCACATGCTCACTCAGGCCTGCCATTCTCCGCACCACTCCTCCTCCCCCTGGGCTGCGGCACGGGTTCCCACGCCGGAGGTGCAGTCTATCAGGTGTGTCGGGCGGGTGGTAATGGGGGGTGACCCACATGGGGGGTGAAGAAAGTCGGTATCGTTTAAACGATCCCCATCCCCATCCCCTTCGAGACCCCCACCAAATTGCCACCCCAGTGGGGGATGCACCCATCGAAGCCCAAAGGGAACGACCTATATCCCCAACTGGGAGGGGAAATCGGCCAGTTGGGCCCAGGCCACGCCGCTGGGGATGGGGATCGGTCAGACGATGATCGGAAAAGGGCCCCAGAGGAGAGCCCTGTAGGGCCCCCTAGCCAGCTGGTGCCCAGACGGGGCCCACGGGCTCCCATAAGGGGGCCCTAACTGGCCCCCCTTTAGGGCCCTTTCCTGCACCACCGTTTTGGAGGAGGCGGAGGAGGAGGAGGAGGAGGAGGACGAGGAGGAGGAGGAGGGGAAGGAGGAGCATGGCACTCGCAGGCTGCCTTCTGCGGAATGTGTGCTGAGGGGGCCAGGCTGCGACGCCATCGTCCCCACGGCCCAGACAAGCACTGGGAACCTGTCTCTGCATGGGGTGACGGCTTGGCCCAGCACTTATGCGGGGACATCGTAGATTTAAGTCGGGCGTGTCCCTCTACAGGAGGAATGTTACAGAATAGTCAAACAGTAGTCAAGGGACGATGTTTCGTGTTTTTTGTTATTCTTATTATATTTTTGCTGGAGTATATTGGACTACTTAAACGTGTTCTGGGAGCATGCCCGACCTAATCGTAGATGTCGAGTGCTTCCCCTGGAGATCTGATTTCGAGGGTCGGTTGTCATTTGCCAGTTTGCCCTCGAATCCCATGTAGCAGCCATCGGGGCCAGGAACAATCAGACGTCCGCAGAATTAGAGGCGAGCGCAATCGTTTGTTGGCCGTGGCGTGTATGTGGCCTTGCTACAGGCAGGAAGTCTTGGCGGAGCTTGAGCGAGTCATAAAGGGGCGCTGCGAGGGGAGGCTAGCGCGGAGTTCTTTACAGAGCCCCGCGCGGCCGATTGTTTCATTGCAATTGCTGTACGGGCTTCCCAGGTCGAGGGTACAGTCGACCCGCATAGTCAGGATGAGCGACTTTCCAAGGTTACCCTAGCAGCCTTCCCCTTCGGCCCACCCAGGGTCGCTTTCTCGCTGGCCGCGCCCCGCCCGCAGATTGTCGGGATGGCCTTCCAGGGCCCTTGTTCCCTTATCGCGCGCCCTTCTTACACGGGTTGTTGACTGTACACCTTGTTAATTTCTCAGTATTCGAAAGTTCTTTGATTTTTTTAGGGCTCAGATCCTTTCATTTATAATTGTTCTATCCTGGGCCTCTTCCTGGCCACTAGGGGCCAAGAACAACACGAGTGCTGGTCGGGGCGACCATGACGAGCAGATCCAGCGTGTAGAACTCCGGCCCCTCGGACAGCAAGCGCTCGCAACCGCGGCCGGAAAGCTTAGACCGGGCTCCGCGAGGGGGCAAATAAAGCAAGGCTCACCATCTTCAGGACGCGCGCCCACACGCGCCTTCCTCGCACACGGGCCGCCGCGTTGAGCGGACCCGACGGCATGCCAGCCACAGAGTCCACTCCCTCCCAGCGCAGCATATGTGAGCTTCGCGTGAAGCGCGTTGGCGGTGTCAAAGTTAATGATCAAGGGAAGCCGTGCCATCGGCACCAGGTGCACCAGCGCCGGCTGAGAGCATACAAGGGCAGCATCGATGTTTGCTTCGTGCCGCGGTAGCGGTTCTGCGGTACTTCTGTCATCTAAGCACATGGAGTCTGGGCCTGGGCCCCAGGGTGCTGCGGTTGGAAGAAACAAGTTTGCGCCACCTGGGAGGCGCGACAACTGATGATACGACCCCCCCGCCCCCCACCTTAACATTGAGAGCGGACACGCACGCTGAACTGGAATGCATCTATATTTTTTCGAAGGGCCCCGGGATATGTCACGACTATCAATCTGAAAGTCGGGTGTGCGGGGGAGCAGCAGTGCCATCCGATTCGCAGCTCAAGCCGAAGTGGTGCAAACATTTTTCTTTCAACACTGTCCCCGCGCTGGCGAAGTCCCTAGAGCCGATGGTGCTGTCCACGAACGGTGCCCCTCACGTGCAGTTGTTTCGGCCTTCGGGTCCGCCGGTGTGGTGCGAGGGCTGTGCGCCTGGGCACGTCGCTCAACAACAAATCATAGGGTGCAACACAACAGCGATTTGGCGTGACACCGCATCATTTTGGCGGGGATGCTTCTCCGGGCCGGAGGGGAGGAAGAGGCATGGAGGGATCTGGGGACGGACGAAGAGAGGAAGTAGGAGGAGGCGGAGGAGGAGGAGGAGGAGCAGGGGGAGAAGGAGGAGGACGAGGAGCAGGAGGAGGAGGAGGAGGAGTGGATGGGAAAGCGCAGGCCTTGGACCAGCACCAGATGTGAGTGACGAGTACAATGGGTTGGACACAAGCTGAGAGGACTCGAACGCTCGGGCACCGCTCACTTACAATAGCTGACCCGCCTGCGAAAACATCCCTCTCGCGTCAAAAAGGCAGCCCTGCTTGTCAACCGTGCGTGATGATCTGATGATGCCCTGCGACCACCTGTCTTGCTGCATTGGCCCATTAATGACGTACGCTCGCACAGCGTATCGTGAACGCAATACGTGCTTAGTACAAGCGCCGTCGCCGATGGAGGCGGTAGAAGAACTTTGTTGTGGTTGCAGACAGAGCATCGCACGCCATAGTGCGACTGTCGCATCCGCCACGACTGAATTGCATGGTTGCATCGTCAGCGTTACCCTTGAATTGCATCGCGCAATTGATACGTATGTGCCTTACACGCGTGCGCTGGCGCTGACGGTACCGCATTTCACCGACATTTCAGGCGACCTGTGCGCAGGGATACATTCCAGGCGCATGCACAGCTCTCACAAGCCAACCTAGAAGATGATGATCTAGCTCAACTGTTTGTCGACGTCGATGCAGTATGATACGGTAGAGGGCAATGGGAGGCACAGCCGCAAGCTTTCACAGTTGCTTTGGATTTGCAGCATGCGGAATCGCTGGCCAGTCACACTAACGAGGCCAGCCAGAGGTATTTTGTGGCCTTCGGCCTATCCAGCCCCTGTGCCTGGGTTGTGGGCCAGAGTCCACTTGGATACCTCTTGGGGTCTCTGGGGATGCCCCTTGGGAGCCTATTGGGGCCTCTTGTTGGCGTTTCGGGGCCCCTTGGGGCCTGGTGGCGGCCATCATCGGGGGAATGGCTCCAACTGTCAGTTCGGGTTCCCCGTCTAAGGCCCCTCTTTGGGCCCTTTTGGAAGCTGCTTGGGCCGTCTTGGCATGAACCGTCTCGGAGCCCTCTTGGGGCCCCCTCTGGGCCGTCCTGGAGCTATATCGTGGGCCTCCGAGGCCGCCGTGGGAGTTCGGAAACCAGGGAAAGCGGAGATGCACACATCATCGAACCACTGACGGGTAATCACAGATGTCTGTTTCTTGGAGCCCTCTTGGAGGTCATCTTGGAGCCTTCTTGGTGCGTCTTGAGCCTCGTCTCCGTCCTCCTCCACTTGCCACCTTCCACGCACCACCATCTACTCATCCATCCATCCATCGCGCCTCCTCATCAAATCACCTCACCACCACCACCACCACCACCATCATCAGCATCATCATCATTGCCGTCATTTTCGTCATCATCATCATCATCATCATCATCATCAGCATCCTCCTCCTCCTCCTCCTCCTCCTCATCCTCATCATCATCATCATCATCATCATCATCATCATCATCATCATCATCATCATCATCATCATCATCATTATGATCATCAGCATCACCATCACCAGCTGCGTTATCACCATCGTCAGCAGCATCACCATACTCGTCACCATCACAGTCGTCATCATAATTAGCGGCATCATCACCGTCACCATCGTCGTAATCATCATCATCATCATCATCATCATCATCATCATCATCATCATCATCATCATCATCATCATCAAGATCATCATCATCATAATCTTCGCCACCGTAATCATCATAATAATCGGCAGTATCATCAGCATCAGCATCATCATCGTCGCCACCATAATCATCACCATCATCGTCATCGCCATAATCATCATCACTATATCATCATCAACAGCATCACCATCATCAGCAGCATCATTATCATCATCAGCAGCAGCATCATCATCATCATCGAAAGCACCAGTATCATCATCAGCAGCAGCATCATTAAAAGTACCATCATCATCAGCATCATCATCATCATCAGCAGCATCAGCAGCATCATCATCATAATCATCATCATCATCATCATCATCATCATCATCATCATCACCGTCCACATCGCTCCTCATGTCCCTCGTCCTTTCAGTATCATTTCATGTTATCTCCTCCCCCCTCCTCCCCCCCCCCCTCCTCCTCCTCCTCCTCCTCCTCCTCCTCCTCCTCCTCCTCCTCCTCCTCCTCCTCCTCCGTTTCCTCCTCCTCCTCCTCCTGCTCCTCCTCCTCCGCCTCCTCTCGTCCCCCTCATTCCAACCGTCCCGACTTACTACCGCCTCGGGCCCTCTCTCCCCCTCCCCGCTTCTTCCACCCCGTCCGCAGTCGGCCCGGCCCGAAGCTGTGCGGCTCGAGCGCCACCCGGGAACCCAGAATGGGTCCGACGTGGCTCGCACGATGACGCCGGGAGACGACCTGCCCGCGCCGCCCACGCGCCCTGAGGCCCGACACAGCGCCGGGAGCGCCGCGGTCGGGAAGGACGGCCCGACCTTCGACGAGCGGATCGAGCGGCTCGTGGCGCGGCTGCGTGGACTGCCCCTCGCCGAGGTCCTGCCCTCGGCAGCCGCGCCCGCCGCCGGCGGCGGAGCGACCGGACGTGCCGTGGAGGCGGTGCTAGGCGCGGCCAGGCGCCAGACGCGGCAGCACACGAAGGCGTTCAAGCACCGCGCGCAGGTGGAGGCCATCGCCGAGCACTGCCTGCGGCGCCTGCCGAGCACGTGCGAGGTGGTGGTCGAGCTCGGGGCCGGCCAGGGCCTGCTCGGCCACGCCGTCAGCGTGGCCAGCGGCCTGCCGCTGGTGGCCATCGAGCAGCGGGGCAACACGGACGCCCTCGACGCGGCGGTGCCGCAGGAGGGGGAGGTCGCGGGCGCCGCGGTGCTGCGGGTGCAGGCCGACATCGGGGACGAGAGCGCGTGGCCGACGGGCCTGTGGTCCGAGTCTGGGGAGGCGCAGGCGGTGCTGCTCGCGAAGCACCTCTGCAGCCACAGCTCCGACCTCGCCGTGGGCGCGGCCGTCTCGCTGGGCGCGCGGCTCGGCCTGCTGTGTCTTGCGCCCTGCTGCCACGCGAAGATGGCGTGGGAGGGGCTGGGCGCCGAGATGCAGGACTGGCTCAGGCGCAGCGGGTGCATTGAGGACGCCAAGGACTTTTCCCTGCTGCTGGATGTTGTCCGCCTGTCCCGCGCAGGCGACGCCAAGAAGGGCTACGTGCCCTGCGCCAAGTGGAAGCTGAGGCGATACCTCGAGCAGGACGAGGTGGAGGCCCTGGGGCGCCGCGCGTGCCGCGTTATCGACGAGGCGAGGCTCTCGAGGCTTCGGGCGGCTGGCTTCGACGCCGTGCTCCTTGAGTATTGCGACGCCGGCCTGACGCCCGACAACGTGCTCATCCTCGCCGCGCGCGGTGGCTGGCTCCAGGCGGACGCTGCGGCGCCCCAGGGCTGGGAACCTGGGCATGCGCACCCAGAGTCGGGCGTCGTCCTGGAGCTGGACCCCACCTCCCCTGTATCCCTGCTTCAGCGTCTGTTGGCGTACCTGCATGAGCAGCGGCCCGTCCGCTTCCGAGCAATGCACTCGGTGCTGCCGCTGGCGGAGTGTGCGCAATCCCGCGCGCCGCCCGCGGTGGCCTGCTTCGCGGAGCAGGGGCATGCGCGGGAGCTGCTGCGTCAGCTGAAGGAGTGCCCCGTGCTCGCCCGCGTGGCGACGCGCGCGCTGCCTTTCGAGGAGCCAGCACAGGACCTGGAGGCGGCGGCGGAGACGGCGGGAATGCTGCTGGCGGCTGAGGGGCCGGGGGCCATGGTACGTGTCCAGGCGCGGCCCAGGAGCATCGAGGGCGAAGTGTGCTCCGCGATGGGCCCCTCCAGGCTGCAGCCAGCGCGCCCAACGCACGTGCTTTCTGTGGTGTCACTGGGCCTGCCAGGCGCCGTCGCCGGGGCGGGCGCCAATGGCGCGGGCGCAGTCGCCGAGGGCTCGGGCCGGCAGCCTCCGCTGCGCGTGTCCCTCCTCCCGCGCCAGGAGCTCGACGTGGCCGCGTGGGGGGCGGCGCGCGCGGAGGGTGACCGGGGCGCCCGCGCCTATTGGCGCTGCGTGGAGCTGGCCAGGCGGTGGCCGCAGCGCGTGGGCGCGGCGCGGTCCGTGGCGCTGTGGACCGACAGCCCCGAGCCGTGCGAGTGGGTGCGCAGGTGGCTCGACGAGTTCTCGCCCGCCGGCGCCGCGGCGGTAGAGCTCCGCTTGTCTGGCGACGGCGTCGCGCACCAGTGGATCCGCGGCGCCCCGAGCCACGGCGGCATGGCGGAGGCCACGGTGCTCCTGTGCGACGTGGCCGACACGGGGGACGTCGTGGGCCCGTTTCTCACTGCCACCAGTGCAGACCCGGGGCGGCTGAACTGTGGTAGTGGTTCGCTGGGTGCGGCCGGCGCCGCGCGCAGCGAAGCGCCACCATGGGTCGTGAGCCTTGAGGCGGGGGCCAATGCAGACGGGGGTCAGCCAGGGCGCCAGATCCTGCAGGGCCCTGCAGAACCAGGGTTGCGCTGCCCCGGGCCAGGGCGCAGGATCCGGCAGGATCCTGCAGAAGCTTGCAGGATCCTGCAGAGCCCGACGGACCCAGGATTGGATTGACCCGGGCCAGTGCATCCCTGAGACCCGACGTGCAGAAAAACTGCAACATCGCCAAAAATCACGCCCAGACCCCCCGACCCCCTCTTTCTGCGTCATGTTTCTAGTTGGATCGATCCGTGAGGGCCCCGGGGCCCGAAGCCGAGTGAAAAAACGCCCGCCGTGACAAAAATGGCAACGACAGGAGCCTAGGGATCCCCCAGGCGGGGTCCGCAGGCCGTGGTCTGCGG